AGCTATTAAGTGTTTATTAATTCTATTCAAAAGTAAATTATATAGAACGTTTATAACTATGTACTAAAATATATCGTGTTCGCTGGATGCCCCATTGCCATTATGTTATCTCGTGAAATTTTGACGTATTACTTTGCAGCCCAAATCATATAAATAAAAATAAATTTTTATTTTTTGAAGTTGATATTTTTTTTTTTCATAAATCCCAGGGGTCAATAAGTTATAAATTTTTTTTTCTATAGTGTTCCGGCATCCAGATGCTACCCCTCTACTGCCCAAGCATCTGCTGCCGGGGCAAGTGCCCTTAAAATCCTTCGTCAAATATGACTCTGATACGATGCTTCATATTTATCGTATTTATCAATTTAGAATATCAATAAATGCAATATTATTTTATTAATAATGTAAGCGCTTAATATTATTATGTGTCAACGTGTTTAAAATATCACGTCAAGAACGTTTTAAAATAGATAACAATATTATAGTAGAATAACGAAAATTCCGCAACGCACTGGTTCGCTGCAACTGTTTCCTACAAAACCATTTGAATTACTAAAAGGATAATCTGTTTAATATAATATATATGTTTTTGAAGTTCTGATATTATATTTTTATTAGACGGGAATAACAATATTTATTTTATTTCACGAGTTAATATCATAAAAATATACAACGAGTAATGCACATTCAACATACGACGAGTACAACAATGAGTATTTTTAATGATCCATCGGGTTTAGATTCTTCTGACTTCGAACAATTCATTTTAGTTAAAGACGAGGAGCAAAATTTAAACGTCGAATTTAAAGACTGTGATTATAACAAGGAGTATAATAAATAGATATAAGTTGGTAGTATATAACAGTGAGTTTAATATATATTGACTATATGGATAGTCCTAATTACTAATAAACTTCCAAAATATGTTATTTAAAATAACTTAAGTACCATCTAACATTCTTATAAGTAAAATATAGGTAAATTTATATATTTTATTATTTTTAATAATTTCCATGTGTGATATTAGTTTTAGTAATAAATACAAATATTTACAATTTAATTACAGGTCCCTTATTCTGAACAAATGTACCAATTCAATATTTGGTGAATAGAATGTTGAGTTGGACGGTGAACTCCGATCATTAAAACCTGGAAAAAAGAATAAATATTGGGCAGTGTATAAGAATATAAGAATATATTAATATATTAATATTATATACGGCAATATATAAGCAGTGAGCTGAAGAAAATGAGTTTTTCATATTCAGGTAAACAATGTAATGACCAATTCCGGACTCAAAAAATCCATTTTACAAAAGTCCATGACAAACCAAAAAAATCCGGTTCGGGAAAAATAACTTGGCAGTATTATGCTTTCATGGAAAAAGCCATAAGAGATACGGGAAGAAAACAATTTCACCGCCATTAGGTATCTACTATGTCTTCATATTTTATAATTCGCCGTGAGTATTGCTTTCCATAAAATCATTGATGTATTGAGAATTGTTCTTAATGTTTATATTAAAATCAAACACAGATTTTAATATTTTATATTAATTATTAGTACCTATAATACTTTTCTTGTCGATATATCGGAAAAATACCATTAATACTGTAGTAATAATTTGATTTCTTTAACTAGATTTAATAGTTATAATATTAATAGTTATATTATTTAATAGTTAATACGCAATTTTCCATTGGTTCTAATAGTATAAATAATAGCCAAGAACAGTCATTCATAGCTACGACAGAACTGGTAATAACAATGGATGATATTGAAACTCCTATCATACCGCCTGTTAAACAATTTAAGTGTGAATCAATGGTAAAAAAGCAACCATTGTAAGTCAAGGAATTTTTATCTACTAGAGAAGTACAAAACCGTAAAATATTAAAAATGTACTACAGTAAGAAAGTAATTTAGTTTTTCATGTAAATATTCTGGTATTCTAGTTATTTATAAAGACTTCATTACTTTATGAAACACAATTGTTTTTTTTTTTTTTTTTTAAATAAAGTCTTTGAACTAAATTCAACTAATACTGATTTAAAATATATGTTTCTCTTGGTAATAAGTTTTCCCAGATATTATGAAAACCGCTTGAAAAATCTAAAAGTGACCTCCTTAAATTACCATGGAGGTAAAATTTCCTTTCAGAAAATAAGCTACACTTAATACATCGGAGCAAGATTTCTGACAGAAAAGTTTACACAACAAATCAAAGGGTATTTTTCGATTAGAACAGTCCAAGCGAGCGATAGCAAACTAGGGTCTCCAGTTACAACTAAAATTTATTTATTTTTTCCCTGAATAGGTAAAAGAGGAAAAAAAAGTGCAAACATTTTCTTTTTTGAAACAGGGGTTTGAAACTCGTGAACCCTAGGATGTAAATTGGTATGTATAACCATTTGGCTACGACACAAATGATTTAAAGGAGACAATATTTAGTTATTTAACAAAAATATAATATCAGAACTTCAAAAACATATAATTTCGAAACTTAGTTAATCCGCTCAATTCTAACTTCACCATCGTTCTAAAATCAGCAATATACGAGCGCTGTTCACGCAAATCAGCCATTACAAAAACGACGAAAAATAACTTTAAAAAAAATATCACACCAACGTAACACAACCTTCCACGATGACGGCCGTTGGCATATTGAATGATGAGAAGTATATTTTTACGCCCCTATCGGAAAAAAATCGGTACTACTAAAACTCTGTCCCAAATAACATCAGTTCGGTTTCTTTTGGGTACGCCCTCATACATATGTTCAAAAAAAAAAAAAATTTGAAAAATTTGATTTGACGATTTTCGTCAAAATTTAATATTAAAATTCCTTTATAAAAAAAATACAGTCAATGAACTCAAATTTTCTTTTTTTGATCACAAACTAAGACTCTTAATAAACCCCCTGTTAAATTGTCAGGTATTTCTGTTAAGTCTAACAATTTTACTACAGAGTACACACCGAATTAAAATTACGTACAAAACTCGCAAAATTAAATTCCAAAAATGGCTAACATTTTTTTAAAAATTATACCATATCTAGAAAAATCAAATAAAAGTTTTCTGTTCAAATTTCAAGTCTACAAATATTTTTAACTGAATTACAATAAATCACAATATTGAAAAATAATAAAAGCATTATTTTCGTAAATTTCCCGTTTTTCTTACATTTTATTCTGATTTTTCCCAGATATTATGAAAACCGTTCGGAAAATCAAAAAATTACCTCCTGATAGTACCATCTGGACAATATTTCCTTTCAGAAATGGTACCGCGCGTTTACATTTGAGGTAGATTTCTGGTAAAATTTTCGTATACAGTATAAAAAAAAATAAAATAAACATTTTAGTAAAACCAATACATTCTTTACTAAACTCAGAATCTTAAATATTATATTATTAATCTAGATAAATATTAATGATACGTCCAGCAATAAAATTATGCGTTATGGACCGGGTATGCAAATTAAAATCGGATATGTGGGTTTGTCGTTTTTTACTCCACGATAACGTTGCCACACGAATGATAATCCAACAAAACGATCATCATTATTTAAAAGTGGAATATCTTATATAATAATAACACCGAAATAATTTTAAATTAAAACTTAATCTTTTTATTAAATTACGTTTTACCATTTAAAATTTCAGTTTTAGTTATTACGTTGGTTCAACAAATTATTATAAAAATAAAAATATAAGTGTCTGTACATAAATATACATTATATATATATATTTTTTTTTTATAGTATTAAACATATATTTTGACCTTCGGTGTGTTTTATTATAATTATTCACAATTTGAATAAATTATAGACTTTTATAATTTATAACGTTGTATTACACAAATTATTAATGTTGCAGTTTTGAATCTATTCGTAACTACGAAAACTATAATATTGTTCAAACGATGTTTGATCAAAAAGCAGTGTAGTGTGTTAGTTGGCTAAAGATAACAAGGGGAGACATTTAAAAAAAAGAAATAGAAAAGTGTTTCCATCAAGTTATACATTTTATACAACGAAAATCTATGTTGAACTAAATTAATACTGAACTAAGAACACAATAAGAATATAATATGACTAAGAATAATATGCTATGTATTTTGGCATGACTTGTATCTATACTTCCTACCCTCTAACAGCTGAATCTTTCAATAAGAATTCGAAAGAAAAACAGTAATTATACCATTTTCATTAGTATCTTCTTTTCTATTTATGTAAGCCATGGCTAGATAATTTAATATATTTTCTGGGATTAGAAAAATTACATGTTATTTTCAGTACTTCCTTTTAATTGCAAAATGATAATTTATTGCAATAATATACATCGAGATACATCGATAATTAAAAATAAGGCAGGACAAAGTAATGAATAATGTTCACTCAGTGGGCTTAAATATATTAAAGTATTTTTTAAATTTTACAAAATTGACGATAATCTGGAAAACCGGGAAAGGACCCTTAAGTTAATAAATAGTCGAAAGCTAAAACTTTAAAATCTAAATAAAAAGTTCAAATTAATTTATATTTTTAACTTATTAGTACTATAGCATTAAAATAAACTAAAACCTAGCATTCAATTTCCAAGTATTACTGTTTATCAACGATTTTTTCCTAATTAAATTAAATACAAACTAAAAAATGTCAAATGTCTATAAATAGGTAATAACAATGATAATATCATGGAGTCTAATACAAATTAAGACAATTATTTTATGAAAATGTTAAGTCTCTTACTGAGCTCGATATTATAGTTGATTTAAGTTGATTAGTCAATTACATGACTACATTACATGCGGAGAACATGCCATAATAATAATTACAATGATAGACGTTTGTTCAAACAATCAAACTTGGGTAACGAGTTTGTAAACTAGATCTACTGCGAGCAATTTGCGTTATTAGAATATCTGAAAAACACAAGAAGGAGAAATCAGAGAGTATAAAAAGACTAAACGAATTACGTATGTTCGTTTGTTTTTTGTTAGATATATGTTTAATAGGAACGCGAAAGACCTCTCGCACATAGCTAAACGCGGTTTCGTTTAAATTTTGTTGACATTTGGTTCTGTTCATTTTAACGTTAATTTACCGGAATTGTGTTCCTCAATCGAAATAGCGGTACAATATGACTAAAAGAAATATTATGAAAATCATATGCAGTCTTGTGTACATTACTATTACGATCGTTAACGCAGCCCATCTGATGAAATTGCGTAAGTAATTATAATTATAATTATTATTATTATTATTATACTGTGCCTATACAATTTTTAGGATTCGATATTATTGTTATTTATACCGAACCAGTGCACTGCGCCACTGCACGTCTTTATGTACATTATTTTATTCGAGCGGTGTAGTTATTAATTATACTTAATACTAAAAATTCATATTGTATCCGTCTACCAATCGGGTAATATGGTAATTATAAGTTTTGGACCATCTAATATCACTCAGGTCTCGAATTCCTTGTATGGATTTAATTTTAGAGCCACGAATCAACACTAGAAGTTTTATTAAATGTGAATTTTTTTTTTTCAAACCGATTTTGTTTAAATTTTAAAATTTACCTTTTTGTTTTAAAATTTACCCCGAACATAGAGACTTTTATACAGTGTTGTGTCTGATATATTATAAAATATTACATCTATCTATTTGCCTCTACTTTTAGACACTTTTAACGACATTTTTTAGATCAGATCAGTTTAAATTCAGTAATTAAAGTTGTTTTTTAAGCTGATATTAGTGATATATTTTAAATTGGATTTCAATATGAATTTATTGATGATTTTTGGGTGAGATATTTTGGTTTTAATATGATGTGGGTTTTAGTTTTTTTGTCTGAGAACAAATTTTCTAAGTAAAAATCTTGCTTTACTCGAACAATGACATGAAATCAATTTTGTTTCTTTTAAAATCAAGCCATTAAAAAATGAAGTCGTTTTTTGATATCTTAAGCAGTTTTCATGATACGTTGTTGGGAAAAATCAAAAAAGACGAAAATTACGATAAAAATATTACGAAAATATTAATATCTAAAATATTTTTAATAATAATTAGGAAAAATCAAAAAGGCAAAAAATACAATATTTGTTTTTAAATTACGGCAAAATGATTAAAATCACTATTTCAATGCATACAGTTTATGTTTTCTATCATAAATATTGCTCAAATAGAAAAACATCAAGATAACTTTTTTGTTGAATTTTTAATCTTGTGGCTAATAATAAGGTTAGTTTTTAGATATGCTATGTAGTTTTTTTAATATTTGAGCAATACCAAAAATTGAAAAATTGAACGGGTAAATTCACGAAAATAATTCTTTCATTTTTATTTTTTTTTTTTTTATAAATAGAATTCAGTTGAAAATATTTGTAAAGACGTGACATTTTGACAGAAATCTCACATTCGCTTTTATAGACGTGGTAATATGTTATTCAGTTTAGAAATAAGAATGTTATCGTTGACTTTCCGTAGTTTTCTAAATAATCACGAAAAACCGAAAAAACGGTAAAATGTGGTTTTTTTTTTATTTTTATTAGTTAAAAATTATTTAATAGATCAGTAGTTTTCACAAAATACTTATATTGGTCTTTTGTCGATTTTGTATTTTGTGAATATCAAGTTCTAAACTTTTTTGGACTCAAATTTTGTTTGGGTAATTTTGGGACCACAAGAAAACAATTTACAGTCTTAATTCGAAAAAAAAAATTACAATATCAAAACAATAATGTATATATAGCATATATGTATAAAAAGGAATCGTGGTTACAGATTTTTGATAGTTGAAAATATGATAAAAAAAATCCTATGATGGAACTTGTATTAGTTGTATTGATTATGTTATTTGTGAAGTATTTACTGTAATATTATGTGTTATTAGTGACTTAAAATTTTACTATTTACAAATCTTATAATAAAAATCTGATTGATACAATATTAGTTTTTTTACTGTTTGATTTCTGAACATGGATATAAACGTTTTCATTAAAATAGATGAATTCGAAATCCTAAAATTGATTAGCTTTCATAAATTCGTATAAGGCTTACTAGATATATTCGTAAACAACATATTTTATTAAGTATTTAATATCATTTAGTCATTATTAAAACCAAATCGCAAAATAAAAATGTTTCAAAATGTAATTTTCATTAATAATATTCATCGGAAAAAATATCAAATATTTATACAAAATTAATAGGTATTGTTGAAATTATTTTAATTTTACATTATTGCCTAACATAATTACGTTCGTTATTACAGCACAAGGTTTTATACAGTGTAAGAAGAGTGATCCTAAATTCGATGAATGTCTAACCAATGCGTTTCAAAAATCTATACCTCATCTGGCAAAAGGTAATAATAAAAAAATACAAATTTTTGTTCAGTTTATTAACATAAAATTTATTTAATTAATATTTTATTAATTAACACTTATTATCTATTTATAGGTATTCCGAGCTTAACAATGTACAAATTAGATCCGTTCAGAATCTCAGAATTGCAAATAGACCAAGGCGAAGGACCGGTTAGTATCAAATTGAACTTTAAAGAGTTAGATATCCATAACTTAAGAAATTTGCATGTGAAAAAAGTTCAGTAAGTACCCTATTAATATAGTTTCAAGTTACCTAATACATTTTTTTTACATTTTGTAAATATTTATATTTAACTATGACACAAATAATATAGTTATGATCCAGTTAACTTTAATGCAGATCTCGAGTTTCAAATTTCAATTCCTATAACATTAGATGGAGATTATGACATAACCGGAAAAGTCCTTGTCCTTCCGATTGTTGGAAAAGGAAAATCCAAAATCGATATATGTAAAAACTTTTTTTATTCTAAGTTAACTAGGTATAACAGTTAAAATACGTCAAATAACATAATTGTTTGTTAACCTATTTTATTTAGTTATGTCAAATATTACTGCCAAAGTCCAATTTAAACCAATAGTCAAAAACGGAAATACGTATCTGGACATGACTAAATTTGATTGGAAATTCGTAGTGAAAAATATGAATATTAAATTGACGAATTTATTCAACGGTGACAAAGCTTTAGGTATTTTATAAATATTACGCATAATAATATCAAAACTATTAAGTAGAACTATTGGCAATTGCAATAATAATTCGTTTTCTTAATTGAGTATTTTGGTACATTGTAGATACCGTCGTATTGTGTTTTCGAACATCATACTTCCTGTAATACAATGCGATTTTCAAACAAATAAAAATATTGAATACCTATACCTAATAAATATAAGGACTTTTTTAAAGTCGGGTAGACCATTTTGATTAAAAGTATTTGCAATCCAGTTGAAGTAGTATAATAATCATTGAAATTCATGGTAGCTAAATCGCATAATCCCGATTAAAATTATTAGTTTTTCATTGATTTCCCTTTTAAATCGAATTAATAAGACCCCCCCATACTCTATTATTTTATTGAATATTCATGGTTTAGTAAAATTCATATTAAAATAAATAATTGTTTCCATTTTTTTTTTTTTAAATAATTAACTAATTACATTATAACTAAATTAATTTTGTTAACCAAAATAAATAAAGTTATTTATTCGTTATCTATTTGTTTATTGCAGGGGACAATATGAATTTGTTCTTAAACGAGAATTGGAGAGATGTTTTAAATGAATTACTTCCTTCTATCGAAAAAGTTTTTGGCATTGCTTTCAAAGATGCTGGTCAACAGTTTTTCAAAAATATTCCTGAAAATCAAATATTTTATGCTTAAATTCGTTTTTCAAATTTTATTAAATAATTATTGTGTGTTCTAAATTTCTAAGTTAATATTATTTAAAAATCATTAAATGTTTGAACTTTAGAATTGTTATTATGAGCAAACAATTATTAAGTTTTTTGAATAATATTTAGATAAGTTTGATTAATACAAATATCGAAATATTTTGAACTAATTATATGTATATTTCGAAATTATAGGTTAAAAATTAAAAACTGAAATTTATTAATATTATTCAATAAAAAAAATAGGTGAAATAACGTGAAACTTTTTTTCTTAAGCCTGCGTAAACATTCTATCAAATTATTAAGCATTCCTGTTTAGTCCAACAATTTTATCCACATAATACCTACAAAATAAAAATTACGTAAACAGCTTACAAAATTAAAACGTATATTGATTACTCAAAAATTACTCTAGAACAAGTGAATATAAGTTTTCTGTCAAAATTTAAAGTATCTAGAAATATTTTTAATTAAATTAAATTAAAAGAACCAAATTTAAAGTAGTAAAATAATTTTTTTTGTAAAATTTCAAGTTCTTTCTACGTATTTTTAGGTTTTGTTCATTCATTTAAAAGACTTCAAAGAAAATAAAAAAAAAACAAATAATTTATTCATGAACTAGATTAAAAATATAACAAGAGAGGTCTCTTGCTTTTTTTTTATTGGTGCAATATGTGTAATAGAAAACATAAGCCGTAAAAATTTTAAATAATGAAATCGTTACGCCGTAATTTGTAAAAATTACATTTTTCGTGTTTTGTTTTTTATTTTTTCCAATTATTATGTAAACTACATCAAGAACTTTTTTGTTTCAATTGCCATTAAATAAAAGGAAAAAAATCGATTTCTTATCATTTTTTCGATTCGAGCAATATTTTCGGTAGAAAACATAATTTGCAAAAATTAAAAAACCAATGAAATCGGCACTGCCGTGGCGTTTTGCCTGTTTGCTGTTTTACTTATAGTAATGATCTATCAATTTTTCCCAATTATATTGATAACTCCACAGAACTTCAAAAATAACTCTCAATGTACCAACAAAAGAAAATTTCCTTTCCGAGAATGTGCTATAAGTAAAAGTTGGAGCAAGTCTTCTAGAAGAAAAGTTGTCCGCAGATAAAAATAAAAAAAATTAACATCTTTGTAAAACCATAAGTTTCTTCGCTTCACTCAGAATCTAAAATAAATATAATGTATAGATTATGAGGTATACATTTTTGATTGTTTTACTCTTTATAACTTGCAAAAATTATGAAATATTCATGTCACTATTCATGTGAAGCTTTATAATAGAAACTTAAAATTTTAGGTTCTAAGTGAAGCGAAGAAGCTTATGGGTTTATAAAGATGTTTATTTTTTGTTTTCTCTGCGCAATATTTCTATTAGAAGACTAGCTTAGGTTTCTAATTGTATCACTTTTTTTGAAAAGAAATCGGTGTAGAGAGGTACATTTAAGAGATCATAAAATGTTATCAATTTTTCTAAAAGTAAATTTTACTGGAGAAGTACTTTGGAGCGGTAGTTTTTTGATTTTCTCGAGAGTTTTCTTATCAAATGCGGAAAACCGAAAAAAAACGGGAAAATATATGAAATATAGGTATTAGGTAAATAGTTGAAATATTTTACGACCTTCTTTTTTTTTGTGCGCAACTTTTATGCCAGCAATTTTGCTCCAACTTATAGGAACTTGAGTAACTTAAAGTGAATTTCACTAGGGAGGTACATTAAAGAGGTAATTATTTGGTTTTCCCTGCAAATGTAAAAAGTCGGGATAAAATGTAGGAAAACTGGAAAAATCAGTACAAAATTAAACAAATATTATTAAAGAAAATATATAAAGCCTATTGTTGATAAAGAATCAGTGTCAACTGAACTCAGCTCAGAATCATTTTTTCGTAAGCAATGATTTATCGATGCTTACAGGTATACATTCAATTATTTATGCATCCGTCTCCATCATCCTAAGACGTCTTTTTATTTTGTATAGCAATATTTTTAGATTCTTGGTTTTTTTGGTCATATCATTGATCATTTTCACTACATTTAATTTAGTGTGCCTATTTATTAACATGCTCGACAATCCATTTAGTCTAATCTAAAACAAAACAAAATTCAAAACCTATATAATAAATTAATTTTGATTTAGTTGAAAATTTAATCTAAACATTAAAACCAGTTTACATATTTCTGACATAGTACATACTATTACGCAAATAAATTTTAATACGTTTAAACTGGATCATGTTCTTGTGTGGCTGTCATACAGGAAGTGTACACAAGAAGAAGAATGAGAATGTATTAGAAGAAAATGAATATTTATACAATTAAGTTGCACAGAAAAAAATCATCTAGTACGGTCTTAATACATAAATTACCGCATTAAATTATTTCAGTGTATCTGCATTAAATCGATGGTGCAATATATTATAATACCTGTTATTTTTTTTCAACTAAAAAATTTTTTTTGCAAAATATTATACTTACTTGATATTTACAACTACAGGCTCTGCCTTTTAAATAACTTTTCGATTCTGAATTTGTATTTCCTACCTACTCTAGTTTTTGTCCTTTCGAATAATCACGCATAGAATAATTAAAAAAAAGTTTTTAATATTCGATTTAGACGATATAACTTATAAAGAGCTGTCCTAGGATAATGAGGACGGGTTTAGCCGCTCTTATATGTGAGAAGTTTGAAAGGTAGTAAAGATGACTGGGGGATACGGTAGGTATGGGCGATAACAAATGTATTAATTATGCTTTACTTTAAAAATGATTTTTCATGTATAAATATGGCATTTTTGAACTTAGTGCAAAAGCAAATTATTGTTAACACTTTCCGAAATAATGAGTATCTTACGCTATGTTAACCACTCTGTGTATACTGATATTAAATGTTTAATAACATTAGAAATATAACGTTTAAAGTTAGCTAAATTAATATTACCTTTATTCATTTAAAAATAAACTCAAATACAACGTTAATTTTTTAGTATTTAACATTGCATAATATTTGATGAACTCGAAATCTGTTAAAAACGGTGCGTACTAATTGAGTCTCATATCTGGTCGAGAAAAAGAAAATATATAAATTGAGTCCTTGGTATAAATGAAAATATACTAATTGAGTCTTGGGTATATACGAAAAATATATTGAGTAAAATATCAAATTAACTCTAGTTTATCTTAACTTAAATCTAATCACGCGATAGACAAACACAATAAATAAATGAAAAGAGCTATCAGTCTGTATGGAAAAGCAATCGAAAAGTTCAAATCATTTTGCTTCCTTAGTAACTAAATCATGCAGAACAATAAATACACATTAGAAATAAAAAAAAAAAGTTTTGGTTAAGCAAGCCTTCATTAAGAAACAAAATTTCTTAACAAACTAAACAAGCAAGCACTTATCGATTAAAATAGAAAGCTATTAATTAAAACTATGTTTGATGTGTGGAATTTTATGGTAATGAGTCCTAGTCTTAAGCATACTGGACGAATAGAAGCATTAAAGATATAGATACGGAAGAAAATAATGAAGATCAGTTGGGAAAAAAAGGAAATCGAATTAGGAAATATTAAATATGGTGGACGAATCAAGACAAATTATCAAAATGATAGAAGAACTAAGTTTTTTGGACACGTTATGTGACACAACACGTTTACTATACATATTATGGAGGGGGAGATAAATGAGAAAAGAGAAAGACATAGGAAAATAAATTTGGGGATATGAAGAAGCTATTGCCCCTAATGAATTATGTAGATATGAAAAGATAGGCAGATAAAGAAAAGAATGGTTGCAACGGTAGATCCGAATTGTTCCCGAACTCATACCCCACATACCGAGTTGGTTTCCACTTGACAACGGTACTTTTTAAAGTAACTTTATACTCTGATATTTTAATACGTTATCGTTATTTAATGATTACTTATTCATATAATTCTATTATAGTAGAAACTTTGGCTTTTAAATTGAGATCTATATGATGTCATACTATTTATTATTTTATATATTTTTTTGTTTAATAACTATTTTTAAAAATTGTATATTATATGTACTTTACAAGTCTCGTTAAGTCTCATTAATAAGTTTGCCCTAGGGCCTCTAAATGTCTTAATCTGGGCTTGGAATTAAGGACTTTACACTCTAGTCGCTCTAGTCGACGAGGTACACCGATCACTATAGATACGAACGACGTTGTAATTAAAACTATATTAATTAAAAGAAACAAGTGTTTTTTTGATCGATGGGTTTAAATTTGGTTATTAATTCCATAATTATAAACAGTTATCGAACAATTATTAATAATACGATTTTAATATGACTAAAAATTATCGTATACATTTTTACCGGTATAACAATTTTATCATTATTTTTAAGCGTATATTATATTATATTTTATACAACTCAATTGAACATCATGTATATATTATTATTTTTAAAAGTTTGATAGGGAAATTTAAAGTTTCAGTTAGTTTTTAAACATGGACTCAATAATATATATTTTTTTTTTAATTTCACGGTACTCAATTCGTTCTAAATGGTTTTATTGAACCTCAGTTCGTATACACCCGTTGAAAATTGGATAGGTACGTAGCAATAAATTGAAGTCTTTGTTGTTTGCTGGGCATTAAAACTCAATAAAAACCAATTATGGTGGATTTTAATATTTTATGTAGTTTAGAAATGATTTAAAAACTGATTGTAATCGACAAATAGTTATTTCAGGTATATGTATTTAAATGGCAAAGCGAATAAAGAAAAGACGGACATACTTCGTATGTGGTTGGGCTACTGTTGTCGAGGTGAGAATTTGAGGAGGCAGTAAAGGGGAAGTTTAATGTATATCTGTACGCAACGATTAACCATTACTAACGAAAAATGATTCTGAGCGGAGTCCGGTTGATACAATGTTGCTTTGTCAACAATATATATATATATATATATATATATATGTTATATTATGCTAAAATAATTCCATAAACATAAAACATTTTCTTTAACAACATTTATCTAATATTGTACCTATTTTACTGTTTTTCTTACATTTTTTCCCGGTTTTCCAATGCTTTTCTCATTTATAGGGAAAAATCCTCTGAAAATAAAAATAATGACCTATATAAAGTATTTTCCCAGTCAGATATCCTTGCAAAAAAAGTGCATTGTGTGTCATTGTAAATCGGAGAAAAATTTCTGGTAGAAAAGTTGTCCAAAGAAAAAAAAAAGACTTAAAAAAATAAATAACATTGTAAAATACTTTCCTCACTCCATTTAGAATCTATAATTCAAGGAAAATAATTGAACAAATATAATGCTATTATTACTGAAGTTAAGGTCATAATATTATACAGTATGATCAACATAATTGAAGTTTTAGTTTAAATAAATTTTGCCGTTGAAATTTGTAATTTTCGTAAACCTTTTTATGAGGGTGAATATAGTGGTGTTTTATTCAAATGTACCGTATCACATCGCCACACAAACGATGCTTTACTACTCTCCACACTTATAAAAAGACGAACTTAAATGTGGACTATTTCGTCACTGGTTAACGAAAATTAAAAACGTTAGCAGAAAAATGTATTTAAATTAAGACTTCATTCATTTGTGCTATTTTCAATATACGTCGCTATTTGAAAATCAAAAGTTAGCCGTGGTTTCACTTATAAAAATAAAGGTAATGTAACATTTTAGGGAGTTTTTGATTATATAATATTCTAAAAAAAACACATTTTGAAAATAATGACCATGCACTTTCCGAAATATTAATTGTTTGAAGTATGTTGATCACTCTGTATATACCGTTGTAATTCTTTAGATGTAGTACCAATAGAGTTACTGAAAGAAATAAATCTAGTATATATATCTACCTAATTATTATTTTAAACAATATAATTATCATAAAAGTAGACGTACGTACATACAAACGTATTCTTCAAACAGAGTAATGTTTATAATTGAATATATAACTTCGCTTACTCCCTCTCTAAAAAAAAACTTGTTTAAAAGGTTGTTCAAACCGTTTATAAGACGATGCACGTTAATTTGATAGTTTAAAATTTACGTGTTAGTTTAAATGATGAAAGCATAAAACTTAGTCGATTTTTGATACCATAGATCGAATAATTATTGCTCCTCATCATCTTTTAAAATGGCAACCACCTCCACAGTAAAACTTTTTTTTAGTCTTACATCCGTTCTTCTGTGTGCCGTCAATGCTGCCCCTTCATCCAAGTTGCGTAAGTGCTAAATTTACGATAAATATGTTTTTGATTTTAAGTGGAGAGAGGAATGTATTGATTTTACAATGATAGTTACCTATCTATTATTATATTTTTTTTTCTGTAGACAACTATTCTACCTGCAATTTTGCTCCGATTTTCAAGTATAGCACTTTTTCTGAAATAAAATCTGAATAGAGTTGTTCCTTTAGAATGTTATTTTTTGATTTCGTAACAATAAATTTTATGTTTTCAATTTTTTGTTTTTGTTTTGTTTTTATTCAGTTAAAGATATTTGTAAAGACTTGAAGTTTGGAGAAAAAACTTATATGTACTTTTTATAGACGTGGTCGAATTTTCAAAACATTGTACCTATTTTCGAACTATTTATAAACATTTAAATTTTATGGGGATTTTTAGATAGTTTTGTTCTATAGTACCACTGGGTAACTTCCCTTATCTGAAAAATTCAGATAATTTCAGTAAATTAAATTTTTTTTAAATTAAAATTGTTTAACCAAACAGAAATGCTAGAAAATTGAATAGGAGGTTCATTCTAAGTTGTACTTTATAGAATAAAAAATGTATTATTTCCAAATAGTAAATATTACGGCCTTTCAAAACATGTGTATCCGAAATTCACTCAGAATGGTAACAAAGATTAATCGTTGCATACAGATATACATTAAATACTATGTAGAGGCCCAATCATCATACGAGTATATCGATATCTTTTTTTTTTATTAAAAATTAGCCAAAAAAGGTGTAACTGGACTAATTGATATTTTTGCATATAACTACAATGTAAAAATATCAAATAGTCCTGTTATACCTAGTATAGTATACTGTAATTTTTTATAATCTCAGCAAAGCTCTTTATCAAAAGACTTCCAAAAACACCATCATTCTATAGTAAAATGTAAAATTGTAAAATATATATACACTATAATACATAATATATATATATATAACTGGAAATTTAACTTGACAATAATATTTTTTATTCATTTTTATTTTTTTAATTGTAGATGAACAATATCTGAAATTTTTATCTCATACATAATTCAGAATTTTTCTTAAAATTGACTGGTGTTTTTTTAAAGCTTTATATTTAATTTTATTAATAAACGAAAAAAAATAGTTCTGTATATTACAACTTTTTTAATTTACGTGAGAATTGTAACCATTGAATTTGTAATAAAGTTATAGTTTACTTTATAAAAAAAAATATAAATAGAATCTAGTGGTATATATAGAGAGGGGCACAGTTTGCTGCAGACCCTCCCGAAATTTCTTTCTCGACTGATTATACTAGTATAATTAAATATATTTTATGGTTTTATTTTGGATTTCTTATTATTTTATAAATGGTTTTTTCGTTCATCGTGTCGACAACAATCCCGTATGACTCGTTAGTTTCAACAAAATACAACTTTGTTTTCCCTAGATATCTTATGCAACTTTCCCTAATTTTTAAAATCATTGTTCATTATAGCCTCCCTTGAAAATATTTTATATATTACTTAACCTAACCTATTATAGTGTTTGTGAACAAATCGCAGTTTTTCGAGATTTTTTAATATTCAATTATAATATTATATTTGATTTTGTGTTCTAATAATTAATGCCGGATAAAAAATAATAATATTCAAATTGTCGGTTTTTCCTTTTGCAGATTATTATTTTCATAAACTATTAGATTGAATATTTTTTTTTCTAACGAGTATATTAGACATTGCAATTTTTTATCGTCACTCTGTTTACTATATTATTATACTATTTCAGCGAAAGATTTTGTAGTTTGCAAACTAAAAGATCCAGCTTTAAACGAATGCATCAAGAATGGACTGCAAAGCAGCATTCCTTTATTATCAAAAGGTAATGTGTTTTGACTTTATCATACCGTTCAATAAAATATCTTAACGATAACTTTAATATTTATTAAAAACATTGTAACATTAAAATATCATTTGTTACTTTAAGGTGTCCCGAATCTTGGTTTACTACCGCTCGATCCAATGCGAATTACTACTTTGGATATAAATCAAGGCACGGGATCTGTTAAAATTAAATTGTCCTTAAAGGACGTTGAAATTTTAAATTTCCACACATTGGTTATCGATGAACTAAAGTAAGTGATGCTGTTATAAAACTTCGTTGGTGACATATTAATTTGTTATATTAAATAGTTGTGATCCAAAGACTTACTCGTTAAATTTAACATTACACACTAAAGAACCAATAAGAGTGGAAAGTCTGTACACGTCAAAGGGAAGCATATTAATTATGCCAATAAATGGAAACGGAACGTTAAAAATAGCTTACGGTAAATTCCGATAATATCGCACTATATAGCTTTAATATTTATATTAACAGAAAAACGCTTAAAAAAAAAAAAAACACTTAAAAAAATTTAAAATAGTAGAAATGATAGAGGCATTTAAAAGTTCTCCATTTTAAAAGTTTTTTTTAAAATAAAATAGTTCTTATTACAAAAAAATTATTTTGTGTTACTCATTTTTATAATGTTGAAAAATTCTGTGACAAGTTAAAAATCTTAGAGGGGATTTAAACATTTTTTTAAAAAAATATTTTATGTGCCTTTGGGACTTTTTTTAAAAGTTTTTAAGCGGTTTTTTTTCATGGATTTAAAAAAAATATAAATCCGGTTTGTAATTATAACATATTTCAATGGTATATTTATATGTTTAGACGATTTTAAAGCGAATATACGTATGGTTTTTAAGCCAGAATTAAAAAATGGTAATACATATTTAGTGATCGAGACATTCTACTGGGGATTTACTACTTCAAAAATGCATCAGAGCTACACTAATTTAATTGGTGGAAATAAAGCGTTGAGTGAGTATTAATATAGTGTAATTTATTTTGATCGTTATTTCAATACTTACCTACATGTACTTGACTATTATCTTTAAAAAAATAATGAAATGGACAAGTGTTTTTGATTATTAAAATAAAAAATCATAATAAAATTATCTACAAGGTTGTTCATGCATGACGAACAATCCCAATTTTCATTCGAAAACTTAATTCCCATTTCCGTCTTTTTGTAGTATATGGGGTTTTTAATCAATTTATCAAAAATCTGATGAAAAGTTATATTAATTATAAATTATTTGAGGTACTTCTGATACCAAAAAAAAAAAAAAAAAATGTAGATACAAACATCATTATTATTAAACATAATTTTATAAAATTACGTCCTACACAGTTTTAAATATCCTTCACTTGTATGCAAATACAAATTTAAAATATTTATGAACTTTAAATTTGAAATAAAAATACTAACGATAAAATGTGTTAATTAAAGAATTGTGTTTATTAACTTTTACCAGTGACTTTATTGAGTACTTATGCTGGACTCAACAGGTAGGTAAATTAATATACTATCACTTCTTCATCGGAATAAATTTCGTGATTATTTACAATATGGCTATTGTTATTACGTATGAGATTCTTAACGAATTATTTGTCCAAAATTATATTATTCAAAACACGCACAGCCGCGTTGATTGATTTGGTAAACAAAATAAAGTATATATTATTTAAAAACCAACGGTTCACGTTTAATATTTAGTGCTTATTTTGGTGATAAATTCGCAAAAATAATAGTTCACGAAATATTTTTAGTTGTTTTGGAAATGTATTGAACATTTATTCGTCAAAATATCAATTTCACACTATATACCAAGTCAAAATTAAAACACTTTTCCGATAAACTTCCGTTTTTCCAACTTTATTTAACTGTTATTCATACAACTTTTGAGCTTTCGTGACATTAAAAGAAATAAAAGGTTTTGAAAATGAAAATATTATAACGTCTAAATTTACCGCAGTTGTAATAGTTAGCGGTTTTATATTTTAATTTCGCCTAACCTTGTAGCATAATATAGTACATTAACTTTATTGTTATTTTTAACGTTGATTTTTTTTTTTTTTTTAATTTAACAGAAGATAATGTTAATCTTTTCTTAAACGAAAATTGGGAAGAAGTGTTAAACGATTTCAAACCCGCCATCACAGAAGCTTTAAGTGAGTATTTCATTACAATTGCTCATCAGTTCTTCATTCGAATTCCATTAGAAAAAATGTTTGTCGTCTAAACTTGTTTCCGGTTAATGATTGTTTATTTATTGCGATTATCGTTAAAATTATCTATAATATAGGTATATTATATGAAATCTGTTAATCTGTGTGTGCGCGTAGACACTCTGTAGATAATCATATTATTACGATCGTCCGTCAACTCGTTCCCATTCCATCAATATTCGAGAATTTTATTTTGTATTCCAATTTAATATAATACTATCTAATTAAGTCCGTCCGCAGTTTCCTCTTCCTGTTCACCATATCCTACACACTATGCCAACTAAAACTAATGAAGTTTTCCTCCTCCTTTATACCTAAGTATTTTTTTTATATAGCAATATTATTCACATGTTAAGATTCTCTATCCTCCACTTTATTTTCCTCTATTTGCCAAACTATTATTATTATTTTATGTTAAGTATTAGCTATAATTATATTGTTAATTATGTTCTGTACCATTAATCGTGTATTTTTAATTTAAATAAAATTATTGTTTAAAAGTAAACGTGTATTAAAAATGGTGTGGAAGTAGTTGTTAATATTTTGCTCTGTTGTTGTTTTATTTAAAAAAAAATGTTTTGTGTAAAATGTAAACCAATGTAATTACCAACCGGCTGCATAAAAACTATATAATTAAAATATAATAATAATACTAACATTATTAAAACAGTAAAACGATTTTTAGACTGGTTAGGTTATACTATATTCAATTCACGAATTTTTTATATTCGTTGAAATGCATTGCTTCAACAATTTCAACAACCTGCCAGGTGGAGTGTAAAGAAATATATATTTATTTTTATTTTTTATAATTTTTGCTCGCTAGAGGCCAATCCAAAATAGTTGGGAATTTGAAACAAAAGCAAAGGAGAAGACGGAAGTTAGTTTATGGTCAATAGAATTATGACCAATTTAAATTCTTATATATATTTATATTAATATTAACTTACTTGAAAAACAAAATTAATAAATCACATTTACTACAGTCAATAGTTCTAAAATTATATAATACAATTTAGTAAAATTGAACAAATACAAACTGGTATTGGAACCAGGATTTGCATGTTTTATTTACAAACACGTAAACACATTTAATACTAAACAGGTCCAAAAAAATATACTTGTAAATCATTGAATCGTTGGTATCGACGAATACATACGAGCAGATTTAAGTGTTAATACACGAGTTCTATCATTTAGCGATATATTATAATATTATATATATTGTGTATTGTAATAATATTCGTTTTTACCCTTCTAAATTTACCTACATATTTATTAAATAAAAGTGTTGTACCTATATTACGTAAACTGTTCTATGCTCGAACAAATTGGCATATTATAATGTTATTCGGTTATCCCATGTATCGCACTCATACACGGTAATTTATTGATCGCGAACCAGCGTTTTTCTAGGAAGATTTTAAATGAATTTGATTTTGTTTTTTTTTTCAATCATTTTGTAAAAGTTTAAAATCTATTTGAAGTACTATTCTCAATACATTTTTAGTCTGGTTTCTCGGTATAGTAAATATCTTAAATTTTTTAGATAATAACCCTTCCACATACTGTCTATATTAAACCAGTTTAAACTTTAAACGATTAAAATCTATAAACGGTAAATTCAGAAATATTCTCTATTTTGAATCTGTGTGGAAAATGGGGATTTATATTTAAAAGAGTAGCGGCGTGAAATAGTGAATATAGAATTAAAATAAAGCTTAAACGGTTCAATAATTGGAATAATTGAAAACAAAAAATGAAATCGTTTCTTCATGATAAATAGATCACCTGTACGGTTTATAATAGTAGCCACGGTCAAATGGTTACGTATATCAAATAGTTATAGGCGTTCGGAACTTCCTTGATAACTCGACCACCTTGATTCTTATATTTCATTCTATAGCTATCTCGGTCATAAGCTGTTTTTATTAATTATAAAATAATATAATGTTTATGCGAACTCCTATCAGTGTAAACGTATCTTAATTCGATTTGTTAAATTCGAAACGAGTGTTCGTGATATAATAATAGCATCAACACAACATATACAAAACACTATAATTCAACCAATACATGTTATTTTTAAAATTTAAAAAATGTAATATACCAAAAAACTTGTTTTATTAAAACACGGCATCCTAATAGTTGTATTATATAGAAATAATTATTTTTGAATCGAAGAACAACATCTCCTCATGATATTCATAATTATTCACAGAATTCGACAAACAAAGAACATAAAACGTTATGCATGGTTTACCTAGTGTTGCACAAACGCGCACCCATAGGAAAAAAAATTATAATTCAGCGAATATGATACAGGATCTGAATATTGAAATAATAAACTGACGTTGTAATATTTTAGAAAGAAAAAAATGATTTGTGTTTTTAATATGCATACAGTGTGCTTATTTGTGTAAGATTTGATAATTGTCCAAGTAATTGCATAGGAAATTTCAAATCCTCCTAAAAGGATATCCTCTTTATACTTAAATATTAGCTATAAGCTGTCTCCCCTATGATAATTTCATTTATTTCTTCCCCTTTCAATTGGTTATTTAGAAGCAGAATTGTTAAAAATTAAAAACTGTACTAAAAACACCAGTACGCCAAACAGATAATACCTTTTCCCTATCCAAACTTAAGAGTGGAATATCTCGTCAATGGCTTGACAGAAATTAAAAATATTAACACCAAAGTTTATTTTAATTAATAATCCATCTATTTATGGAACTTTTATTACAGGTTGCCATTTAAAAATCATTAGTAAGTAGTATATTTACTCCCAAAAATAATATAAATTAAAAAATTGTAGAGCTGCTTGTTTCTTACATTTTACATAAAACAAATTCCGAAAACATTTTAAAAAGTTAGTGCTTTTCTAGATAATGAGTGTACTTTTACTTAAATGGAACACCATTTTTAATAAATATTTTTTTAAAAACATTGTAGGTATAAGTATACCTATACTTACACTATAGGTTTTCTAAAAATCTTTATTAAAAATGTATGTGTATAGATTCACGTCGATACTTCTCGGGAAAATAATTCCTATGTATCGTAAATGTAGTAGATTGTTAATATGGCACAACAAGTGTTCATGATATCAGAAGTAAGATGACTAATTTTTTTGTGTGACAGATATTAAAATTGCAGTAGTTCCTCTTATTACGTGTTCGACTTCAAAATACACCTACTTATTTAAGATATAATTATCAGTCTCCTTTAGTTTAAGTCTTTGTAGTCCAGGAAAATACTTTAGATTTTATAACTTAAATAGGCGTTGAAGTATCTAACTATTAATTGTTAAATTAACAAAATGTCAAAACCTTTTTTTTTTTTTTTAAATTGTGTTAAAATAAAAAGATTATAAAATAATAAAAAGTTTATGATATACATAAATTGTATGTTGAATGTGATATTCAAGATAATAAAGATAGATATTTTATTTTGTAATTTTTAACGAAATATTGAAAATACGAACTAGATTATTAGAAATTGATTATTTTATAATGATTTATATTTATATATAAAGAGTAGGTTTTAATTTATTTTTACTGAATAAATATATGTATAGGATCATTTTTATTGAGGAGGGAGTTCATTTTTTATTATAAACTTTTTTTTGTACCGATATATGCGAGGAAAAACAGTTTTAGAAGTTTGTGGATTTCCTGGAAGTTTGTTTTGGTTTAGTAAGTGCTTGAGAACGCCCCTCAATTGTTCGTAAGTATAATAGTACTCGCCCCACCCTTGAAGTTTTTCCCACTAACTACGTTTGACTGAATAATCGTAAATTCATAATACGATAAAAAAAAGACGCGATAGGTGGCTCTCAAAAATTTTGGAAGAAAAGTAAGTAAATCAATAAAATTACAACAATATTCAAACTCGATGATATTGTTATTATTCGTTCTTGAAACGTCTATCATGAGATCTTTTGCCATTACAGTTCTTGCAGGCGATTTTTATGTTTCCGCGTCGAAAACCTGTATCACAGTAAATATTATCAATTACCTTTTGGTTTATAATTTCAAGTTCATTTTATTTATGTTATACTGTAAGTAATTACTTACAATATTATTATTACAATTGCATTCGTAAATCCAACGACAAAAAAAAAACCTTTACGTTACTGCGCTACTACAGACTGCGTTTATTTACAAATGCATGTTAGTGGGGATTGAAGGTTTTGGATTAAGTTGTAAATAATGGTAAGGAGTTTTGCTTTTATAATTTTATCTATCAGTTACATACGATACTCGAAGTTAACTTGAAGATTCAACTATTCATTATTGTTACCTACATTGTCACTGAAAATCGTACAATATGAACGCATTTAAAATGGTTCGTTGCAATCTTGTGTACGTTTTCTTGTTGCGAATCGTCTGCGCTGCCCCATCAACTAAGTTGCGTGAGTAGATAGTATAAAATACTCATACAGTTATTATAGTTAATATAATAATATATTCGAAGATCCATAAAAGAAAAAAAAAGCCTCATTGGAACACTAACTATTACGCATGTACCCCGTTATTTTACAAAATAATTTTTTAAATATTGCAGCACTCCCTATAAGCTATATGCTTGTGCTGGGTGCAACTGTATCATAACTATTATTATAATAATTATTATTATTATTATAAATTCGTTAGCAAAAAGTTTCGTAAGATGCAAACTGACCGATCCGGCTATGAACGAATGCATTAAGAATGGATTGCAAAGCGCTTATACTCAGCTGTCGAAAGGTATAACCATCGGACATTGAACATTTGAACATTCTAAAATAATATTATCTCGGTGTTATGACGGTTCCGGCGATTTCCCTAAAATTGCTTTAGGTATTCCGAGTCTTGGACTACTGCCGACCGACCCGTTGCGAGTCACCTCGTTGGGAATAAACCAAGGTATCGGTGCCGTTAAACTAAAACTCGATTTCAAAGACCTAGACATTTTAAACTTGCATACAACTATCATCACGGATCTAAAGTGAGCGATGTGTAGTTATTTAAACAATTTGTCATCGCTACTTATATTACGTATTACATTTTTATTGTTGTTACAGATACGATCCGGTGAACTATTCGATGAATATCACCTTAGAAGCTCAAAAACCAATTATATTACAAGGTTTATACAAAGCTGACGGCAAAGTATTAATCCTGCCGATAACTGGAAATGGAACGTGTAAATTTAGTTTAGGTAACTCGCGCGATATCTCGTGTACTCACCTATTTGGATGATTTTTGTATTTTGGTAACGATGAAATTTTAATCTTTGTTACTCCTTATTTTTTTTAAAAATAAAAAAAAACAAAAAATCGTTTAGTCCTATTTAAGCTTCCAATTTTAGCTACGATTCGTTCGTTCTCTTGTAACGAGGTAAAGTTTTCCACTTAAATACATTTTTTTTTTCATTATAAATAAGAAGAGGATGAATAAATTGTATACTTGTATAGAGGTTGATCTACATTTTCTAGAAAACTAGAATGTTAAGTACATCCGGTATTCCGTGTCACTTTCTTTCTGTTAATTTGTTAATTTATTTTTAGTGCCTTTTGTAGCTTGTTGCCTTTTAAAGGTCGGTTTCTAAGGTCGACATTTTTAGTCGAAGTCCAGTTATCACTATAAAATATAATAATTTATGGTGAATACAACACAAAACGTAAACATAAACTAAATCCAGAATAAAAGAAAAACCAAATGTATTTTATTACAAGTTTTTAGGCAAAAATAGAAAATTTGAATAAAACATGTATATCACAAAACGTTCTGTTGATACAGAATGACCCATATCTGCATACGATTTTCAATGCAACACACTAAAATCATCGGTTTTCCAGATAATTTGATCATATTATAACTACACACGATACATTTGTTTCGTCAACGATTTATGGTTTTTATAAACAAAATTAAAAATAAAATAAAAACCTAGGCATTTTAAATTGAAAAATCTACCTCGTTACAGGAAGACAGAATAATTTTTTCAGAAAGCTCAAATAGGACTCAATAACTTTTTTGTTTCGAAAAAGTCAGAGGGTGGCAAAGATTAAATTTCCGCCGTTACTGAAATAAGAATATCTATGTATACTTACTATAAGTATTTTATGATATGTTTTGTAAAAATTGTAATTTCAACGTATTTTTACTATTTTTATTTCAGATGACTATAAATCGTTTAGTTACGTGCAAATGAAGCCTAAAGTCAAAAATGGTAATACATTTTTAGAAATTGACAATTTATCGTGGAAGTTTACTACTTCGAGATTGCATATGAGACTGAACAATTTGTTTAACGGAGACAAAATTTTGGGTGAGTAGGTGTGCATATTTTTTTTGTTCCAACCTCCCTCTTTTTTCTAAAAAATATATTCCAAATAAAAGTTATCAATTTTTGTTTTCAAACTCAATGGTAGTGCTTGAAGGACCGATAATGATGATAATATTTTTCAACTTTGATTTTTATGTTGCGCAGGAGAAAACATGAATTTATTTTTGAACGAGAATTGGACAGATTTGCTGAACGAAATGCAGCCGACTTTCGAAGAAGCTCTACGGGCAGCTCTCATTGCAATCGCCCAACAGTTCTTCAATCGAATTCCACTAAACGACATTTTTACGGAGTAAATCACGTTTTGCGTTGTAATTACTTACACTTATTACAGTTATTTATTTATTTACAATTGAACAATTGGACAAATGGTTTCACTGGTCGAATATTAAATACTGTAATTTATTATTCATGTACCAACGACCGCGACATGCTTATTGCGTATTAATCATTAATAAATTATTCTGTAATTTATAGTAATTTATATCGTAAAATATAATGCCGTGACCAAGTCTGTTTGATTATTTGTCGTCATAAGACGTACTCAAATTGTATTGACGTGTGATGAAACAAATAGAACAAAATAATTAAATTTTTTATAAAACTAAAAAAATAATGGTTATAATTTGTATTGCATTGTTGTACGAATTATTTTGAAAACATCTACATAAAAATGTGGCTTGATCAAAGAGGAGTCCGTCATTATTGACACCGTTTCATTTTGTGTAAAATTGAAATTCTGTTCTAACGCTTTACGAAAAAAGTTTATTACGTATACTTGTTTTACTTAATATGTACGTATAAATTAATTTAATTGAAGTATATGAATCAATTAATTCATTCGAAAAGCTTAACTTGATAATCTACGATAAATTTAAATAATTTTCCCGTACAGATGTACGATATAATTTATATTAGTATTTATAGACGTGGTTAGACTTTTGCTTGCATGCATACATCAGGCGTTGTTGAAATGTTCCTAAAAACCTTAAATAAATGTATTTTTATTTCATGTAATATTAATTATCATTTGATAACAAAAAAAAAAAAATGAAATTATTTAATTTGATATAATTTACTTTTAAGTTGTACCCAACGATAAATTATTGCAAATGAAAAAAGATTCTAAGCGATGTCTAGTTAAATATTTGTAGATAAATTTAAATTCAAATTCGTATTAATTGGTAACTACAAGATAAATTAAATAAACGGTTTATGATTTTAATGAATTTCAACACGGTTTTAAAATGTTCCAAAAAAAAAAAAATAATAATAATAATAATAATTAACCGTTTATATTAAGCACATTTATTTCTACCGCTAAATCAGGGCTTGCGTTTGAACAAAAAATTCGTTTTTGTTATTTTAATTTAAAACGTTCTATAACTTTTGCGTTTTGCGTTATTTTGAAACGTTATTCATGTTATGCAGTTTCTTAATTTTTCAATGAAATCATACGTTTATATATATATATTACTATCTATACAACTATAAGAATTTAATGGCTCTGAGTAATGCCACCCGACGACAATAGTTAATATCCTAACACAGTCACCTAGTATAAATATTATTATTTATTAGTAATAACCACGAATTAAGATATACAGGATACACAAGGAGACCCTATTATCAGCAAACCATTGATTCCGACGGTTATTATTCGTCGAATAGATAAAGAGCACTAATAACTAATAGCGGCAACAAGGGGTATTACTGTATTCATAAATAAGAGAGAACAAATTTTAAAATTAAAAGCTTATTTAGACACTATCATAGAAGATGGTCGATGGGATATTGATGACCACACACCACTAATATATCCAGTGGTTATACAGTGGATGCAATTTTCAGATATCCATAATATTCATTATTAAATGTCTAACGGATATTCAATTAATATCTAAAAGGTATCCAAATGTCCGTTTTCTTGGCATTTTTTGACATGCTATTTCAATATGATCATGTTTTGAAGTCGTTCATGATATGTCTTACATTGTCTAATCCTAATGAACAACCACAATTATTTATAGACTATAAATGCACTATACATCCAGTGGACGTTAACTCGAGATATTTTAGATACTAATTAATTTACTAGTTAGGAGTACCTACAATATATTATTTATTGTTTTATATAAGAACACTACTTGTACATATCTCTCGTGTAGAAAAATATAATACAAATAAAAGTATTATATCTATTATCAAATTTGTATAAATCCCAAATTCGGAATTTCCGTGTTGTGATTTTATCGATAACGGATATTATGTTATTAGTAGAAACTCACCGCTGCCACCTTTAAACGCTACCTATCAACCGACCTAAAGAACGAAAAAAGTTCTCATAACAACTGATAAGTGCTCGTCGTGATATCCTGTATGTTTTAATTCGTGGTAGTAACTAATAAGTAATAACCATTGGCATTACTAGAGGTACCTAGGTACTTATTATCAATTTTGGCACGCACACGGCGCACCGGATAGCGAAAACCGAACAACACGGACGAATGATAAGCAAACCGGTTTTGGCCATTTTAAGTAAACGTAAAAGTGCGGGTTTTTCCAAATAATTCAATAGTATTTAATTATTAACTAATTGAAATAAAACTGCCAACATAATTATTGTATCCGGCCATTAGAGATGGGTAAAATTAAGTGATAAAAATAAATCTAGTTGGTAGAAATATTCGAATATAAAATATAAAATGGTATTAAAATATGTTATTCCGTTTTGCATTTGCGTTCTGTTTTGATATTTTTTCGTTTTCCGTTTTTTTTTTTTACGTGTCCAAATTTCGATGGTTTTTTGTACCGTACATTATAATAACGTTATTATAATGTTTGCCATCCCTGTACTTAATACAACTCGCCAGCTGTTGATACGATTCGTTTTGGAAACTCGTATAATGATAACACTAAAAGCAAAAAGTAAAAAATACGATCAGCGATAATGGGGACGGGCGCAGCCACTGTTATGGATAAATTAATGTACACCTGTAAGCAACGATAAAACGATTCTGAGCAGAGTTCGGTTGATTGTGATGCTTTTTCAACAATATAATATATGCCATATTATAATAAAATAATTAAATAGGCTCTAAATATTTCTTTAATAATATTTGTTTAATGTTGTATTGATTTACCCGGTTTTCTCGTTTTTATCGGGTTTTCACATTAGTTGAGAAAACTACGGGGAAAATCGATAAACGAATTTTTTGAAATTTCCTTTTAAAAACATTGCTATCATTAAAAGTTCGAGTAAAATTGCTGGTAAAAAAGTTGTTCACAGAAAAAAAAAAAAGGCCGTAATATATTTTACTAATACCTATACATTTCATATATTTTCCCGTTTTTTTTTTTTTCGGTTTTTCAAATTTGATGAGAAAAAAATAATAAATAAACAATTTTTGTAAAACTACAAGCTTTTTTGCTATACTCAGAATCTATAAAAACGACGAACTACTATCTACCTATTCGTTTAAGCTATTTAGAGTGTTATTATAGTTTGCGTTTGTAAATTTATTTAATATTCTAATTAAATTATGTATTCGTCCGTTTTATAAACTGAAATTATTATCTTGCAAAAATTCGTCCGATAAGGCATAAAGATAATTTCATATGTGAAAAAACGTTTCAGTTGTGAAAAAACGCACGCACTACAATATAATCATTTATACAAGTTAAAAATGCCTAAATTGGAGTAACTAGTTTGTCACACTACACTTCCGTACGGTTAGCTTTACGGTATGCCAGTGTTTATAAAAATATGTATGTCTGTTTTACTTTGGTACATCATTGTGTCCCAAAATCACACCTATGTATTTGAATCGTTAATTATTATTCTACGCGATGGAGTATTCAAGATGCTGTTTTGATGTAATCGATGTGCGTGAAGGCACTTTGCTAATAGCATTTTTGCATATAGTAAGTATATAAGTACCTGTATTATATTATTATTATGTAAGTCATTAGAAAAATTAATGAACAATATTAACTTAATTACGTAAAGTTAATTGAAAAAAATGTACGAGTTCAAAATAGTTCAATGTTGAACTAAATTAAGTTAAAAGTAAATTTGAAAATGTAATTGACTGAAGTTAATTTACTTTTTGTTGTTGGTATAAGTGTGAAATCTGGAATTTGCAGATATTCAAAATGAGAATGACCAGTTTTAAACATATTTGTCGGGGGTTATTCCAGAAATTTCAAAATACCAATACCCTGATAAGTATCTAGTAGTTATTTTAAATTTTAAACTATACACTAATTGTGTGCAAATTAAACTAGTTTTTTATTGAATTAATGAAAATAAAAATCCTGTTAAAAGTTCAAATTAACTTTATGCTAAACTAATGACCTTTTAACTCGTTAATGGCCGGCTTTGTTGTGTATAACTTTTTATGTTGATGCAATATGTTAATGCTTTAGTTAATTTTGCACTGTATAATTTGAACGAATAAATGAACGGCTTTAGAAAATTCATGATTTTATCGATGCTTGTACGGAACGGACATATGGTCACCAAGAAAAAAAAACAAGAAAAAGTTCAACCTGAGTCGAAGATAGCAGTCAGAACAACTAGTGGTCTTATTTCAAAGTACGAGTATTCTAGACGTAATTAGAAGACGATTTTCACGCTTTCACAGAAGTTAGAATAAGCTACTAAAAAAGGAATTCCCGTGGAAAAAGATTTTTAGGAAGGTCTAGATAACTAGATGATGTTTAAAAAGAATCGAAGTAAATAATTGACGAATGTTTGAACTAGAAAGTAAGAGAAACATATAGTGAAAGATGAATAATTGAGTTTAAAACGAGCTGAATCTTAAAGGGACCTCGAAATCAGAGAAGAAAATCCGAATATTTACAATTATTTTTAAATCGAGAAATATAATAGTTTTGGGTTACTCAATTTTGTATGCTCAATGACATACTACCAATACAATCATTCATCTGTTTTCTATAGATATTATTAATAATAATATAAATTGATCAGCTATTATTAAATAGATATAGTGAATGATTTATTATTTTATAACCTATTGTGTACTTAATTTTAGGGACTAATATCGATTTCAATGTTATTATATTTGATGATTTATCTACAGCAGTTGTCTATTGAAAACCTAAAGAACGGTAAATATTTTTAATTTTTGATTTTTTTTTCTTTTCATATTGACTAAATTATTAATGCACGGCATTGCATGTGTGCAGTATTGAACGAAATAAGGAAAAAAATAGAGACCTAGAGACCTTAGCCGTCAGAATATGACATAAACATATTGTTGAACAGATAATA